GGTATGTTTGCAACGCTACGCTAAGTACCTTCAAGAACCCGTTTATCGGTTATCCTTCCTTCTTGTCCCATCTATTTACTCGTATGTACCAAAATACATTACATTGGTAGAGTCGTGCATCTAAGGGTAAAAACGTAAGAGACAGAGTTTAGCTTCATAATTTAAGTTTAATGAATGAATATAATTAAGTAGAATCAAATCAAGGATTCTATTGGTAGTAATAAGCACGTAACGACATTTAAATCGTTTTTGGGGTTGACTATTTATCGATAGCTCATGTATCTACAGCAGAATTTTGTATCTTCCTCAAGACGTAAGCAAAATCAAAACCCTTCGAAGGTCAAGAGGTCATAAAACTAAATTTTACGATCCGGAAAACCTCCGGTTGCAATAAACTCGTCATCCGGAAAATGGCACTTACGGAAGTTGTTCTTTGTTGAGGATATACGAGTATCGATGACTTAGCCTTTTGCGAGTGGAATTTTAATCGATTAATCATTCGAATGTGGTTCTTTGTTACAATTCGAGACAATAGACGGAAAACTGTACTTTAAATAAATATCACATAGGTACCTACATTAATGACTGTTATGGACTCATTTCGATGCGGTCAATTTGTCATGTACCTAATTCGAGAATGAATCGATTACATAAATTTGCATATTAATAACGAATTTTAAAGTATTTAAGTTTTTCCTTGCGACTTGCTATCAAAAATAAATACACTTTTCTCAATAAAACATAATTACCATTTTTCTTAATTTACAAGAGATACAAAAATTGTAACTGCACTATTTCGCAGTCTTATCGCTAGGAAGCGATCTCTTGCTGTAACCCTAGATAATGTTGATTATTTTATACTCTGATAAAAGAAGATAGTAATAATAAATAATAATAAGTAATATCATTGGACATTTTACACTGCGCCTCTAGTCCCAAACTAAGCAAAGCTTGTACTATGGGTACTAAACCACGGATATAGACAAATACATACAAATTATATAGTCATAGTAACACCCAGACCCGTCACAGAAATTAAAATTCATCATTTCAATTTTTCAATCCAACCCTGGACCTCTCGGCATAGTAGTCCGTTCTTCTGAACCACTACACCAAACGGTAGATTTTATTGTCATGCAATTGTTAAATATTGAATCATCATCGGTTCTCTACTAATAAAAATATTGAATACTGTCAATAAAGTTTTTTCTATTGTTATTTTTACCACAATGTTAAGTAACAACATTGTCTGACAAACAAATGATGGTCAGTACCGAAGGCTCTATATCTATCAGATATTTCCAGAGTCCAGCGAAAGCAATAGTTACTTGACAGAAAACTTCCTAAAAGGCTATCAGAGGGCCTAATGTGAGTTTACATCAAACGCACCCACTAGTGAGCGCGTAAAAAATGACATTAAATGTATGACGGATTGTACAGCGCCCCTAGCGGAAAAGTTTAAGAATTAACATTTTCATACATTTTTTTAACTCGCTCACTAGTGAGGACTTTTGATTTAAACTCAAACTCAGCCCACAGGGGTACCAGCAAACAGGCCCTTTTATTTTGATAATCCTAAGGGTCTATACTGAACCAAGGCGTATAATGGCACAAACAATAGCGCGGAAGATGCACACTGCGCGTGCGCCGCATACCAAACGCGCGCGGGCAAAGACATTGCAACGGGGTACGCGAGTCGAGGCTTTGGAGAAATAGATATATAAAAAAATGTGAGACAGACAGACGACTATATTATTTTTGGTGCTCTGCAGTATCCCAACTTTTTATATAATTGAACATTAGTTAAAATCATTCTTTGGAATCGATTCCGGTGGTTCTGGGAGTTCGATTATCAGATTCCAGAAGTACAGGTTCCATTACTCTCAGCCCTCGTTCCCATCACTACAACTCCTGGACAGCCAGAATCTTATCTAATTAAAAAAAAGCCCGCAAGCTGAAGTGGCAATAGGCGGGCACGTAGTACGTAGTACTGACTGCAGATAGGGCAGTTACCCGGTTTGGGGTAGAGGCCACGTGCCGGAAAACGCAGCGTGGGACGTACTCGTCCACCCGATGACCTCAAAAAGGTAGCAGGAGGGCGCTGGATGCAGGCCGCTACCACCGGACGATCTGGAAATCATATGAGGCCTATGTTCAGCAGTGGACGTCCTGTGGCTGAAACGATGATGATGAAAGGTTAAGGACTTCATTGTAGTTTGATTTTGCAAAACAGCATCGCTGTTGGTTTAGATCCAAACTTTACATTTGACACTACCTTTCTCACACCTTTAATTTTGTACTGTTCATTATTGTCCTAATTATATTGGCATTATCTTCCCACGGCAAATTCGCTGCTTTGCTTGCAGACTTGCAATCAATCGGGTATTGTCTTTGTAATTACTAATTATAGTGGCTCATGAGTTCTGATAATGACTCTGACAACCTTTACTACTATGGTGGGCTATAACGGCGTTTATGTCTAACAAAGATTATTTTTAATGGCATTGTTAGTTCCATTTGTATTTACAAATTATCCTTGAAAATCCAGGTTTGTTAGGTTTTTGATCCTTTAGAACTCCTGAATCCCCTTCAGGAGTTCTAAAGGATCAACGGGTACATAAATCATTTTCAAACATTATTTTTCAATTTAACAAAATTTACTGCCTATGGTGGGACTTGAACGAACGACCTTTCGCTTGCCGCTGCCTACTCAGTTTTTAAGACATCGAGAAAGACAAGTCCTGAAGTCCATATTATTAAGAAACAACAAAACTCAAGTTTAAATAAATCATTTTTTTAAACCATTGATTTTTATCATTAAAACACAACTTTCCATCACACGCCCCTGAATTGCATTTCAAAAATCTGAAAATTCATCTCAAGATGTCTAAAAAGTAAGTATCAACGAAGATTTGAAAAACGATTAACGGAAAAACACCTCATATCAAAGCAGTAAAATTTTCTAAGACGTCATATTTTTCTAGTAAACTCCAGCCCAATCTACCACTACAGTAGGGGGGACAAAACTAGATAGAACTAGTTTTTGTTTGTCAGTATTATAAATAAATATCAAAATATCATTTCAATCACATTAAATGCTAGTTCAATTATGACCACGATAAGCTTGAATCGCCCGAAACTGTAATTTGGTGACGACAAGCAAAATCTTGATAAGGTAGAATGAGCGCTTGTAATTAATAAACTTCTTAGTTTACATGGTTAATCGACTAAATTATTAGGGACCAGCAAAGTCTATGAATATATTAAAATTATGACAATATTTTAGTGAAATCTTTTATAATGATAGTTTTTCCTATAATGGCCAATTTTTAGACCCATTAGTTCTCTTTTTTTTTAGCGTTAAGAGTCGCCTTAGGCAGTTCGATTTTTTCAAGTTATTTATAATCTTAGACCCATTGTAATGGAACAATAAAAACAATTCAGCAAAGAATCCAAAAATATCGATATTTCAAAAACTTTAGTGTTCGATTTGGTTTTCTATTGAGATTTTTGTATAAAAAAAGTTCATTGTAAAACTTAAACTACAAAGTCGTAAGGAACAAAAAAGCTTTTTTTGACCCTTGTGACATTTGAAATTTTCACACAAACGTGTAAACTATGACCATAGAGAAGAAGAAGAACCGAAAGAAAGAAATTGTGTTCATTAATTTCTCAAACATACTACAAAATATGATGAATTTCTTGACGTAAAACTGGTCAAAACTTGCACCAGAAAGTACTAATGCACACAGTACATTTTCAACACATATACGGATCCCTCACACTAAAATATGGTTCAATCGGACCGTTTTCACGAACGGTTGCGTGTGGAACCACTGAGCCGAGACTGTTATTGAATAATAACAAAGCGGGTTCAAATGCACTAACCACGGTTAGTTCACATCAGTTTGTTTGGATCGGGATTGGGCAGTGTTACGAGGGCTTGACGGTTTTTGATAATACCGGTTATTTGGACATCATGGTATACGGTACGTTTGATATTTTGATATTTTCGGATTTTTGACCAAGTTTTTCTTTTAATTATAGTTATTACGGTCATGCAATGTTTTTTGGCTTTGTTTGATGTCATGATTTTATTAGGGCTATTTCCCTTGTTTTTTTGGTGAAAGTTTTGACAAAATTGGTTTTCATTTAGGTACCTAATTCTTGAAAGAAAGAAAAGGAAATAATTATTGTGGGACACTAATATTTTTATGAACCTGTTGACACAACTTGCACAAGGGTTTGGGGGTTGATAAGTTTTACAAAACAATCAGCAGGCCGGGCATATGATAGGTCTACCATGTTTTCTTCGTATTGTTTTTCGGCGAAACTTTCTGTCAGCCAACTAAGATACTTGGCCTAGAGTTATTTCGTGCTTACGTTAATAAGATGACGTTTATTGTCCGTGGTTTTTCTTTTCACAAAGGTTTACTAAACCTTTGTTTGTCACCTGTCATCCGCTTTGCAATGGAGGGAAGTCGAACCTTAACTTCGAACTCCTATGTTCTTCTGATTAATTTCGTTGCAGGTCCAATGACAGTTTAACTTTCCCCCGGGACTAACTTGACCTTCACTGGTTAGGTTTTTTATAGGCGGACAAGCTGTAGATTCTGGCTACACAGGAGTTGCAGCGGTGGGAACAAGAGGTGGGAATAGTCCCGTTTATAAAATTATCACTTCACGGGATTTATTGCAACAATATCTATTTTAACGGTAAATAAAATATTTACCCTCCCGACGTTTCGGCTCGGTTGCACGAGTCATGGTCGCTTTTATGTTAATCGATGCTTCGATGAACAGCTTTATCGATTAGGCGTTATTCGGCATGGGTGTTATACGGTCCTTTTCTATATATATACTCTCAATAAAGCGATTCCACAATAGCTCAAGCAAAGTCATAGACAAAACCTAGTAGCATTCCTCAACTCGCGTACCGAGTAGCAGAATACGTGCCAAAATGCCTCCGCACTTGACATACAAATGGGCCCTTGTTTTCCTGGATGGCTGTACTCTAGTGTTAGTTGCGCCCGCGCATCGCAAGCAAGCCCTAGTCGGGAGTTGCGAACAGACAAACCATAGACAAAGTGCTGAGGGACTGGTGATTTTTTTTTATTTTGAGGAGGTTTTGAAAGTGAGTTTGCTGTTCCAAAAAGTTTGGTAAATTATGAGTAATTATGATTGAGTTTTTAATTTGGACATTGTTGAGTGTAATAAGACAACACTGCCAAAGGCATGGATAAGATACAGTTTTATTTAGGGATGAATTTTCAATCATCGATTAATTTATAACTGAAGAATCACTTTGGGACATTGACAGTGTCAGAATGGGAAATATGTCAAAATGGCAATTTTATTCTTCAGTTAAAAGATATCCGACGATTAAAAAATCTGCCCTTAAAAGAATAACAATAAAGGTTTTTTTAAATATGTGTCAAATTAAAAATTCAAATTGAGGTAACAATTAATTAGTATCAAACAAAAACAACGTTAAAAATCCATTAATAAAAATCGTTAGCCCAATTTACGGTCAATCAAAATGATATCAAAGGATTGTTGTTTACATTTTATAAAAATAAAAATTCAAATGAAACCAACCTACAGTTTGACCCAATAAAAACTTATCAAAACAAAAACTGTTAAGTGAAAGTGCGAAAAGAAAGTTATTTGTTTTTCAAATATAGCATTGTATTTTGGTCCAGTTTATGCATAAATATTCATCGAAAACAATGCTAAAAATATCAGTGTATTTCAAACTGTGACAACCGTAACAGCAATATGGCAAAATAATATGACTAAAAAGTATTTATAATTTTATCGTTCTTAAGATCTCAACGTGAAGCTGTTGAAATATAATAAAAAGTGCATAATACCAAACGTTCCAAAGAAAAGAATACTGGCATCTTTTAATGCAGCCAGCCGCATTCTGACTCAAAAGACCCTGTGCCACTGCTAGAGAATATAAAATTCAAAACTAGAACACAGAACAGAAGCAATTCTAATTTCAAATTTGAATTGAAAAGGAACCCTGTAAGCAATCTCGCCGCGGTCGTTGGAGGAGAACGAAAAATTCACACCAAGGAATTCAAAATTGGAACTTCTGTATAACGTTACTTTACCGTTACGTGTCCCTTCGAAAATCGAACTTTTTTTGGAGCGGAAAAAACTGGACTTTAGCGTGCAGTATTTTAGGTTTTAAATGTTGGAATATTTTAGTGCATTTAATGGCGTCGATACGAGCGTCGACCTAAAAAAAGAGTAGTATTTTAAGTAAAAAATCGTTCATTATCTAAATGAGCAAATTAAGAGCCGTCTTAATTTAATGGTGGACTGAGAGGTTGACAAAACGGTGGTATCTTTTTATACTTATTTTTGGCCTGATTTAGTGATGGATGGTGTTATGCAAATAACGGTATGATCGGAGCACGATTAGCGGTCGAGTTATTTATGCATTGTTTGTTATGGAGAGGTTGTAATTTTTAATTGATTATAATTCAAAAAGTGGACGATATAAAAAGGTTCATTTTAAATTTTACAAATACTTACCATTAAATTATAATTATTTGTTTTACTAGTTTTGCTAGGAAATTAATAAAATTAAAAGATGAAAATTTTAATAAACAACAAATAGGTGTAATATTTTTCCATCTTGTAAATACATGAGAGGCGGGAACAATAGGTAGGTGGGATAGGATCCACTGAGTAATTTAATAACTATGTTTATATTTTAGTTCAATATTTTAAGTAGAGTATAACCATTTAAAAATGTTACTATGTCATTCAATATAGACCAGTAAATCTCAGTGAAAGTATTTTCAGAATGGGATCACCATAGATTATCTACACGTGGGTACATTTGAATATTTAAATTCGAATCACTTACTGGCCCGGTTATAATATTGTCATATCCTTAACCTACTTTTTTATGTTCAACCTTTCTATACTAATATTAAGAGGAAAGAGTTTTTTTTAATTTGTAACGAATAAAGTAAAAAATTACATGACCATTATCTACCATTGTATGTTTTATGTCACCTCTGTCTTATTTGTTTTTTTTTATTTACCTCTTTTGTCTTTTGTGATGTCCATGGCAATAAATGTTTCTTTCTTCCTTTCAATAGAATCCATTTTTTTTCCGATGAACATAGGCATATTTTATTTATTTATAATCATTAAAATATTTGTTCTGTGCGAAGTCGGGATGGGCCGCTAGTCTAGTATATTTTAACAATAACAAAGAGAACATACATACCTAATTGTATTTTTGACACAGATATTAGTATGTCGTCTATGTACAGACAGAATTTCAAGCTAAAGTGGTACTTAAGTAATGGTAATAGATGCTATAGTTCAGTAGGCTGTACTGTACACTAGTGTACACTCGCCCTAACCTTTGCCTTGCACTATTCGACCCGATTCCGCGGGTCGATGACACGAACTTGAAAAAAGTCCGCCATTGTATGCAAATGTACAGTCCACCTCGCATTAATTTGCTTATTTCTCCTTAAAACAATCACTTTAAGGACCATATTAGCTTTTGTCACAGCTTAAAGACACCTACGTCGTTAATAAAATGGAACACGGTTTAAAATTGTATTTAATACGCCAAAACAGTTTGCGGTTCAACCATACATTGTATCGTGACACATTTCTTTGTAGGAATTTGAATTTTATTGCATTTAAGTGCAATAAACTTTTGACAGCGTGATTTAAAAGCCTATTCATTCCGAAAATACAGTTTACAGTTTAAATTGTAGAAGTAATAACATGTGCAAGATATTTTTACCTTTCGAAGTGAAATGTCCAAATAAGTTTTTACTTAAAAAACTCGACTCAAAGGCACGCCTTCAACAAAATTGGATTCATTCAAAAATTCAAAGCAAATACGCTAAAATGTTTTATTCATTCATTAAAAAGCTCTAAATTAGATTGAAAGAGCTTTCTAAGTTAGTGGGCCGTGTTTTTTAAGACGTAAATGCGATGACACATTATTTAAATTTTATTTACATGTTTCTTAATGAGTCAGCTATTTTTGCGGTTTTCCTGTTTTTTTTTTAACAAAGGACTTGTTAGTGTAGGTCATGTACTTAATTTGTGATCCAAATACATTCTTATTTTTACTGTCTTAAAAAAAGAGGTATTCTATATTCTATGTTTCATACCAAGTTTTTTTATGTAAATTAACCGTAATGCCAATTGTAAAAGAATTTTCAAAATTGTTTTTACCAACTTAATCTGGTACTCACAAGTTTAAAAACACTGATTTCTAGTATTTTTTTTATGATAGCCATTTCTTGGTTAGGTACATGGGCACCGTATAACCGTAGGCGAACAGGTTTAGGACTAGAAGACGAATGAAAAACCTTAAACTTGCGATTCTATTTTACTTATGAGATACGATTTAGTATCGTGACTTTTTGAAAACTCTTGAAAAGGAGTCTGACAATGGTGACTGAGTTTCTTGTGCTGCTTCTTCTCAGCACTGGCCCATTTATTGTCCCGAAGCAGTGGTAGGGTTAATATTGGGACGTGTAAAAGTGCTTTTTAAAAGCCTATTTGCAAAAATAAATGAGTTTTATGAGTTTTTAAAGTCACTTATATCAAATTTTACCTGTTAGACTTAATCATAGACTAAAACTGCCTCTATCTTTCTTGTTTCAAACAACAAACTGTCAAAAAATTGGTGCATGAATAACACTGATTCATCCCGCCACACCTTTACGCGGCTTACTGTACTCCAAATCATTGTTAATTGTTTGATTCGATGACACATGGCTTTGTGTTTTCGATATGTATGTGGGGCAGTTATGTAGAACGGTGGAGACTATGTTGTACTGCGACTTTGCATGTGTAGAAAAATAGGCTTATCGAAAAAAGTAATGTTTTTTTGCAATTACAAGCAAACGTCCTAGTCATTGCACAGTATTTCCTCGTATTACAAAACAAAATTCGCCGCCGCGTCTGTCTGTCATTCAGAAACTACTGAAAGGATTTTCATGTGGTTTACACTTACATATAAGTGACTGTTTTACTGAATTTTCATTTTTATTATACTCGTACATGTTTACTCATATTTGGTCCTAATATCTTATGTAATAAAAAAACAAGAAGAAAAATAGTAGGTAACAAGGTAAAATAAAGACGATCGAAAAACATTATTATCTATATGGATAATTTTTTTGAAATAGTTGAGACAAATCCAATTTATTTGTCAAACCTTTTAAATATTGAAAATATTTGTATAAACACAAAGTTCATTACCGGACTAGCTAGACAATTCTTCCACATTAACATAAATTATGTAACTGTATCATTATGCTAGCATGAAATACGGGCGAAAGCTTTAGATTCCACGCAACATGATGTTATGGAAAGATAAGCGCATTTGACATACACAGACACACATTGTACAAAGGAATTTATATTTGAACTGGCTTTTGCTCGCGGCTTCGTCTGCTGTTTTTTCATTGAAAGATTTTATCGCGGAACTTATCAAGTACCTAAAGCACAATAAAGCTAGTATCTAGTAGTAGTAGTAGTAGTACCATCAGGTGAGATACAGGCCAAGAGCTTCCTCGTTGCGGATAAAAAAAAAAAAAAAAAAATCTACTCGTAACCCAAAACTACAATCACGATAAACGCATACTCGCTAAAAACAAATAACGATAGGTATTATGGTCAACACAATGGAGTCCGCTCCATTGTGTTGACCATAATACCTATCGTTTTGTTGAAAATTAGTACCAACTACTCCGGTAGTTGGTACTAATTTTCAACCCAAAAAAATGTATTACATAGGAATTTTAAAGATAAAATACCTATCCTCATTTCATTTTCATTTTTCAATATTTTATGATAGTTACAACGATTATATTATTATAAACCCACTAACCTGCTGCGCAACTAGGATCGTCTTCGTTAGGTAGGGTAGGTAGTAGGTACGGAGCGATGACACATGACACACACAGGGTCAAACGGTCCAGTATAAGAGATCCCCTTGAACGCTTAGAAAAATCGTTTTCACGAGCACATATAGTTTTCACAATGCACATCACAATATTGTAGAAAGAATTCACAATTCAGTTTTAAAAATCACAAGAAAATTTTCGGTTGCTGACTGTCATAAGAATGACTTGATTGGTTCGCTGCGCGTCACCTGAATGTCCTATTGGCCAATCGGATTGCTTTAAAAAGACGACTAGCGCTATCTTTCCCGGTATTGAAATTATAGATGACCCACGCTGAACTGTCCCACCAAACTCAATGACAGGGGGGCGCTACCATCGTTCAACTATATGGTTTCCAACATGGCAAAAATAGGAACCAGCGATCCGGTATTGACGGTGGCGCCCCACTGTCAATGTCATGCATAGGACAGTTCAGTATTTTGGAACTATACAACGAAACGGTGGAAAACCAATTGAATGTCAATTGGAAGTCAATACAAAAATTATTATTATTAAGAGATACCTAATTAATTTTGAAATTATTATTAATAGAAATTACCTACTTACCAATGAAAAATATTTTTGGCTACTAAAAATTAGTAGCTGACGCAGTTTTCCATAGTGTTTGCAGTTTGTAGTCTCTACACAACCTAACCTTTGGTCTGATCATCATTTTCCATCAGGTGAGATGCAGGCCAATAGTTGTGGATAAAAAAACTGTGGAAAACTGCGTCATCTATGCGAGTTATGCTAAACTAACTTAGTGCTAAAAACTTAGTTTACGAGTAAAACAAGAAACCTTAGTAAGTAATAGTATAAATGCGAAAGTAACTCTGTTTGTCTGTGTCACGCCTAAACCACTGGAACGATTTTGATGAAATTTGGAATAGAAATAGTTTGAGTCCCGGGAAAGGTCATAGGACCGTTTTTCCAGAGGTTTTTATCCCGGTTTTTGAAACAGGGACGCGCGCGATAACGTTTTTCTGTGACAGATAAAATTTCACGCAGGCAAAGCCGTGGGCGGAAATCTACCTAATAGGTACTTTCTTTAGAATAAGGACATAGGGAAAATACTGTAAAATAATGAATCATTCACTTTCACACTTTCTTGCAACTGAAGAGTTTCATAAATAAATGAATCATAATTACAATCCTCGGAAACATTAGTCTAAATAATTAAAATATTTGATCGGTGACAGTAATTTTTTGATGAATAATGCGTTGAGAATTTAGGACATATTTTATTGGGAGCAGTTTAATTAATGTTTAAAAATGTTTAATTATCAAAGAATGTGAACTAGATCATCAAAAATTAGTCTAGATTTTTTGAATTCAATTCTTAATTTGATAAACGTTTGAAAATTTCGAAGTGGATTCTGGTTTACAATCTTTTCATTCAGTAAACCTATTCATAGAATGTTAGAATCGATAATCTTATTTTTACTCAGTATTAACTACTACTTCCTGAGGCTTTAATTTTTGGGTCAAACAAAACCTATTCTGAAAAATTACTAAAAATTCTGAAAAGACGCTTACATAATTATTTTTTCCTGTAAATATTACACCTCCACTTCATGTAAAGCCACATTTGTTAAAGCAAAGTTCCTATATCTTATTGGAAAAAACCTTTAGGTTCCCTTGGTGTAAAGTACTGTAAAGTAACGTTCAGCACATTTTTTGATGCAAAAATAGCCCATACCTTTTGAAAAATCCGTTGTATATCTATATCGAAATCCATAAAATTTGTTTCAGCAGTTTAGAGTTATAGGTTATAGTCTTGAAAAACATCGTTATGTACTTTAGAGGTACTTACACCTTGTCTATATATATAAAAATGAAACCCGTTTTCCGTTGTCACGACATAACATGAAAACGGCTTGACCGATATGGCTGATTTTTTTTTGTAGTTTTCTAATACTCTGTACAAGGTTTTTACGGAAAAAAATATAAAGGAAATCTCTACGCTAAGGCGGTACGAAGTTCGCCAGGTCAGCTAGTATGTAATATTATAAGAACGCAAATCCAGAAGTGTTTAAATCCTGAAATAACTTGCGGATTATTATCTAATAGCTGATAAGATTATGTAGTAATTGATAACGTTATACAGTGTGTCCGGGCTTGTAGTGATCAAACTTTAAGGGCGTAATCTATGGACAATTTTATCGATGAAAAGACTTCAAATTTGGGGCTTGAACCGTTTCTCGCAAAATTACGAGGATTTAAGTTTTTAATTTTTAGTTTTCACCTCTTCCTTCAAAAACAAGTGAAAGCGTGGGTAGCTTAACGCTAATAAGCAAAAATTTTATATCATGCGATAGCCAATAAAATTATCTATTAGCAGAAGTAGAAAACAGATACAAGTTTGATACATTTTAAAGGAGTAAGAATGGATTTAATTAGAAAAAAACATGACTTTTTTCACTTCTTTTTCAGTTATTTTCCAACACAAGAAAAACCAGGTCGTTAAGGTATGTTTTATTTGCATTTTATTATTAGTATTTGAGCTATTCTACAAAACGAATGTAAATTTATTAGTCTACGTCTATTAGTTTCGACATAATTGTTGAACAAAGATACCCCTTCCCAGCGGTTTCCATAGCGCACGCGACATGCGAAAATGCACTGCCTGAAAGAATCACACAACCTATTCCGATTACTATGGAAACCGCTGGGAAGGGGTATCTTTGTTCAACAATTACGTCGAAACTAATAGACGTAGATTTATAAATTTACATTCGTTTTGTAGAATAGCTCAAATACTAATAATACAATGCAAATAAAACATACCTTAACGACCTGGTTTTTCTTGTGTTGGAAAATAACTGAAAAAGAAGTGAAAAAAGTCATGTTTTTTTCTAATTAAATCCATTCTTACTCCTTTAAAATGTATCAAACTTGTATCTGTTTTCTACTTCTGCTAATAGATAATTTTATTGGCTATTGCATGATATAAAATTTTTGCTTATTAGTGTTAAGCTACCCACGCTTTCACCTGTTTTTGAAGGAAGAGGTGAAAACTAAAAATTAAAAACTTAAATCCTCGTAATTTTGCGAGAAACGGGTCAAGCTCCAAATTTGAAGTCTTTTCATCGATAAAATTGTCCATAGATTACGCCCTTAAAGTTTGATCACTACAAGCCCGGACACACTGTATAAGTAAGCATAAGGACACTATACTCGTAGTTAAGTATACGTTCTGTCATCAGTAGAAGAAATCAGTGTGAGTTGTTTGTACATATTTAATAACTGGTTTGTAAATAATATACATAATAATATGTACTTTGTTATCATTTGCATTGTTATGAAAGTATTACAATCATAATATAATTTATGGATTTCATTATTTACATTTCATGAAGTATAATATTTATTACCATTATCCTGGATATTTTGCTGTTGCTTAATAAACTAGATTAAATCAGGTTTGTGGATTTGTGTCTTTGTTTTTCGTAGAGACGTGCAGTGCATATAAACTGCCTACTAAAACGATGCACTATTTATTAGAATTTGTGGTTTAGAATTTGGAACTAGGTAGGTACATACGATCAGCAATATAAGTAGTAAACTTAAGTTCGTTCGTTTCATGGGGAATTAAAATGGTAGAGTCGCTAATTAATTAACGCGTTCAAGCTCATGATTATCGTATGATGCAGACTGTACTACTCCTAACTTGAATTAAAACTATATGCAGACATTCTGCTTAGGTCATTGAACTTCGTTTGAAGATAATATCCAAGTTATTAAAATGACATAAAAATATTTGGCAGAGTTTTTTGGGCACAAGAGAAAAAAGCTAAATCAAACTATGAAGACGTTGCATTTGATCCCTTATTTATCTTTTTAAATCTCTTTTGTAATTAAAAAAAATTCCTCAAAAAAAAAAACAATTGAATAGGGTTTACAGATTGTGGAGATTATGAAAAGATAAACATGATTTCTAAATCAATAATTAATTTAATTGTTCTGTTGTAATTAAAAGGTTCTGGATATTTCCTATTTCTTAAAAAATGCATCATATAAATGACGTTAGAAATACATTTATTAATATTAATGCCTTCACGTTAGAAGTTAATTTATTAAAATTAATGCCTCTACGAACTTTGCTAAATCGACTTTGATTTATCAAAGTTCGTAATGTTGAATTGATTAACACTAAAATATAAATAAAACTGATGATTTCTAGAATAAATCTGTGTGGAGCATTTTTTGTCGTTCTAATCTCTTTTAAATGTTATTTTAAGCTTCGGAAATATAGGTAAGATTTAGATCTACATCGATGACACACGAAATATAAACAGATAAACATATGTACGTATGAGATAACATGACTACACCCACCTTTGACTCACCGGGCCCAGTTCATTAGACTACTCGTAAAAACTTCCAAAACAAACTATTAAAAAACAATTAAAATATCTGTCACCTTGACCGTCCTATTGACCGGGATAAAAAACGGTGCTAACGATTTTTATTAAGCACTTCAAAATCATTCCAGTATCGGCATACTGTACAATACGGGCTCCTCTGTTAGCGGTTGGCCTACTATGGCTGCGTATATAAAAGTTACCGCCGAGGTGCATAATCAGTACGGAGGTGACGCCTCCATGTGAAGCCGTGCCCGACTTGATATTTTTGTTTTCTTTTTAGTACCACCATGGGGCGGCTTGCAATAGTTGTGGTTGCTACGCTCGCCTTAGCAGCGGCTGCGCCCCCTGGCAAACCCTCCCTTGGCTGGGGAGAACGCACCTTCGCAATCGTCGAGGTCAACCAAGCAGCCACCGCCTACAATCAGTTAGTCACCAAGAGGGACTCAGCAGATGTCTCAGTAACGTGGAACGTGTGGTCCGGGGACCCAGCGGACAAAGCCAGAGTTCTCCTGAACGATAAGGAGTTCTGGTCGGGCACTGGAGGAGCAGCCGGCTCCGCTAGCTTCAAAGTCAAGAAGGGAGGCCGATACCAGATGGTCGTCGAGTTATGTAACGCCGATGGGTGCAGCCAAAGCGACGCCACCGAGATCATAGTCGCCGACACCGACGGCAGCCATTTGCCTCCTCTAGACTACAACATGGGAGAGAAAAACAAGCCTTTCAAGCAGACTTCGGGGAAAGTCGTCGGAGCTTACTTCGTCGAGTGGGGTGTCTACCCCAGGAAGTTCCCAGTCGACCGTGTGCCAATCCCTAATCTCACTCACCTGTTGTACGGTTTCATCCCAATCTGTGGTGGTGATGGCATCAATGACAGTTTGAAGGAAATCGAAGGCAGTTTCCAAGCTCTGCAGCGTTCGTGCAGTGGACGCGAAGACTTCAAAGTCTCCATTCACGATCCATGGGCTGCTCTCCAGAAGCCCCAGAAGGGTCTGTCATCATGGAACGAGCCCTACAAAGGCAACTTTGGTCAGCTTATGATGTTGAAGCAAGCTAAGCCTGACTTGAAAATCTTACCCTCCATCGGTGGGTGGACATTGGCTGATCCCTTCTTCTTCTTCACTGACGAGACCAAGAGGCGCCGTTTCGTCGCTTCAGTTAAGGACTTCTTGCAGACCTGGAAATTCTTCGACGGCGTGGACATCGACTGGGAATTCCCTGGCGGTAAAGGTGCTAACCCCAACTTGGGCAGCCCTAAGGATGGAGAAATCTACGTGCTCCTGATGAAGGAACTCCGCGAAATGTTGAATGAACTCTCAGCTGAAACTGGACGGAAATACGAGCTGACTTCGGCTATCAGTGCTGGATGGGACAAGATCCAGGTCGTCGACTACAGCGCGGCTCAGAAGTATATGGACCATATCTTTTTCATGAGCTATGACTTCAAAGGAGCTTGGTCTAATGACACTTTGGGACACCAGGCGTCTCTGTACGCGCCGGACTGGAACGAGAAGGAGACCTACACGACTGACTTTGGCGTTCAGTTCCTATTGGCCCAGGGTGTGAGTCCTAAGAAGATCGTAGTGGGTGTTGCTATGTACGGCCGTGGTTGGACGGGAGTTCATGGGTACAAAGACAACAATCCTTTCACTGGGAACGCTACAGGGCCTGTGAAGGGGACGTGGCAGGATGGTGTGGTGGACTACAGAGAAATTGCTACTGAGATTGCTCAGGGGAAATGGGAGTACCATTATGACAAGGTTGCGCAGGCGCCCTACGTGTTCAGGCCAGCTACTGGAGACTTGATAACGTATGATGATGCGAGGTCAACTATTGAGAAGGGCAAATATGTTAGGGCAAATAAGCTGGGTGGTCTATTTGCGTGGGAGATAGATGCCGATAATGGGGACATTTTGAACGCTATGAACATGGGTCTAGGTAACAGCGCGTGATTGGCTATTGTGATATGATTGTAAAAAGGTCTCAAAATATAAAAAATGTGAATGTATTATATGGTGATAATAATGTGTTTCACTGAACTGCGTCTGATTAATAATAAGGATAAAATAAAAATAATTTAATTTAATGTTGTTGTCTCTTATTTTAATTGTTAAGCGTGAACATAAAAATAATGAACTGAAATTATTTACAATTAGTAATGTCAAATACACACACCGGCAGATTTAGAGGAACGGAAAAAAAAGCATCAATATCATCATTATTTTAGGAAAAAAATGCCTAATTATGACATTATTTTTTAATTTAATTCTAAATATGAAAAAAATAATTGCCAACAGTATATTTTTTTAATTATTTTGTTTAAATTACCCCATCAACAGTTTCGTTGAGTGTTTTGAATTGAATGAAGCTTTTGCTAATTTGGATTTCTTTTACGTGAAAGATGTTTTTTTCTGAGAATTTTGTTGTGTAAGCATTCAGTTACTTATAAGGGTTTATTATGCCCAGCTTAGCACCGTCAGAAATCATTAAGGCAGATGAAATGAGAAGTAACGGCCATGCATACAAATCGGCTGCCGTAAGACGTCGTTGATCAGTATCGACCACCCATGGCAGTAACCAACGGTACAGATTGATCATTTCTGTCGTTAGGAGGAGGGTTCAAGTCAGAAAAAGGCGTACTTCGCGACGGGATGACCGTTTTTTACAACTTCGAGTTTTCAGAAAGTCGCGGTTACCTGCTGTTCAAGCCAGAAATAACCTTAAAGACACTCGAGGAGTAAGAGTGACTGAGCCCACAGTTCACAGGAGATTTACTGAAGTTGGTATAGGGTCGTGCATACCCGAGAAAGCTCCAACTTGTGACACAGCACCGAAAAAACATATTGAACTTTTCACGTGAATATCGTGATTGGGTCTTGAACGACTGGAGGCATGATCTCTTCACTTATGAGTGCAGAGTTCTCTTAAACCAGATCGATGGAAGATAGCGAATATGGAGACACAAAGAGAACGTAACATTTAGTCTTAATTTTGAAAATATCGTGGTTTATGGAGGTAGCTTAATTCTGGTGTGGGGAAGGATTTTTTTGGGAGCTCGCACGGAGTTAGTGGTGGGTGATGGAGGAAATACGACTTCTGAATGGTACACTAGGAACATTTTAGAAGAACATGATGTGCCATTTACTCCATTTATTGTGGACTCCTTTAGTTTAATTCACGATAATGTTCGTTTTCACAGTGCTCGCTCAGTACAGGTACATCTAAACCATTTGGATATACCCATGATGCAGTGGCTGGCAAGATCCCTAGACAAGAATCCTATAGAGCATGTCTTGGACTTTCTTAAAAGATGTGTTAAACTCAGAATACCACCGGTGATGTTGAGAAACGCGTTACTAGAGGAATGGCAGACATTGCCCCAAAATACCCTTCATATCATTAACTGCAGCATGCTCAGATGAATGGAAACCATCATCAGAGCAAGAGGGGGAAATACCCATCATTAATTCATTCATTTGGATAGTGATAAGCTACCCTAATTTTTAATCTGGCCACAATTTCTAATTTTTGTTCAAAACTGAAAAATTGAAATTTCGTTTTGATGATTTTTTATTAAATAAAAACGACTAAATATTTAAAAAATATATGTTATTTTATTTTATTTTAATTATCTCTTTATTTTGTATAATAAATATTTCATAGATCAGTAGTAATTTTCCTTATTTTCATACTTTTTTTTGCGTTCCGCTAAATCTGCCGGTGTGTGTAGGTCTTTAATTAATTTGTGAAATGTGACATACCAGTGAACAATACTATAGTAATTATTGTAAATCAGTTAATTTATTTATTCCCATTTCATGTCACCAAATTAAAGCAGGCTTAATTGGAATTAGCTTGATTAGCATCAAAATAATATTTGGAGTGAATTCAGAAGATAGCGTGTTTGTTAGAAACTTGTTATTATTTTATTTCTTTATACAATTATAGTACAAGTGTGTGTATATTAGAAGGATATTTAGATTTTCATGAGACTACACCGATAGGAATTCAATGGAAGGTTGAAGAGGAGGTCTATGTTCGAAGACGAACCCCACAGGCTTCTATAGATAGATGGATAGATAGATATATCTGTATATATGTATGTATCTTAAATATTATATCAATTAAAAATTTAACTTCAATTTTAACTTCTACCCTTCTACCTCTACCGTGAGGGTAGCTTAGTAGAGCTTTCTGCATAACCCAGGGGTCGACTGGCTGAGAATGCTCAAATAGCATTAAGTCCACCTTTTGTACTATTTTATTGTGCAATAAAGTTTTATAATAATTATAATAATAGATAGATAGACACCAATTTGACAACTGTAACAATGCAATAAAATGCCGCGTGCAATTTCTCGTAAACTTTACTAAATGTTTGGTAAAATAAACTAACTGGGTGTACAAAATGTTTGGCCAATAATGTAATATTTATTGAAATGATACATTTTTTCACAGTGACATTTTGTTGTGTAACAAATTATATTTTGATACTTATAATTAATGGAAATTTTACATCACAATCATTATTACTCACTTTGTTTTGCAGCTTATAAGGACTGCTATTTGTGCGTCTTGAAGACAAACAATTTTAGTGTTGAATGACAAATAAGTATTATAATCAAATCTATAAATAATGCAAAGGATAGCAGCCAGACTGGTCTTAAAAACCAGTTTCATTATTTATTATTTTTATTTGGACGCTTGCATCTCGGTAGCTTTATATCTTAGACAGATACCTAGTCAAGTAAAGTTTGTGAAATTAAATCAGTTTTGTGACATTTCTGCTGTCACTTTCTGCGATAAATTATTTATTTTATTCATAAAAATGTATTACGGTCATTTCTATTTAGTTTGTGTGTATGGATAAGAAATCAGAAGTCAGTATTTATTAAAAACTGGACTAGAACTGTGTTAGTCAGTTGACTTAAAAATAGTGACGTCACAATCCCCTATTTCCAATTTCCCTTTCTTTACTAGTTCTAGTGCTAACACAGTCATTGCCTGAGGAATGGGAGCGGCACGGGAGGGGTGACATTGACATATTATGATGTGACAAAGCTTACAAATCTGAAAGAAATCTGAAGTCTTGTTCATGTTTGACGTCTCAAAAACACGCTCCCGTGCCGCTTCCAGGCACTGAATGAGTTAAGTGCTAAACCTATAGATAACATAGTAACTATTGACAGATCATAAAAAGTAAGTACCTATTGATTGGTGGTGTCAACATGTCTAATAAAGCCCTTGAGGAGTCCCTCTTCAATCATTGCCTTTGGCTACATACCTTTCACACTAGCACTTCCCCTCGCACAATCCAAGAGGGGCTGTGCAATTGGGATTATACCAATAGTTACAGACAGCTAGAAATTAGTGTTATTGAGCATAAACGCTTCCCTGCTACCTTTACGATGTCGTCGGTCCATATTGTAGGTGGACGTCCCACGCTGCGTTTCCCGGTACCTACGCGGGAAGGTAGCAGGGAAGCGCTGGACGCAGGCCGCTACCAATCGATCAACATGGAAAGCATTGGGGGAGGCCTATGTTCAGCAGTGGACGTCCTATGGCTGAGATGATGATGATGATGATGATGATGATGATGAGCATAAACGTGATGTTTTGTTAGTGGTCAAGTTCTGCCAAAGAACGATATCTAAGGTTTGCCAAAAAATTGTTTGATGTTAATTACTATATTGATGTTAAATAATAATTTATCATCATTACGTGGACGCTCTTGAGTGAATCAAAACATGTATCAGTTTGAGTGCCCTAGCAAATCCTTTTATTTACAGGATGTACGAGAAACAAAACAAAGAATTCAGTCGAAACAATTAGAACTCACTCTCCATAACTTTTTTCCTACTAGGTAGGTACATAGTTCCTTGCGTGTTGTAATGGGATTACCCTTAACGTGATATTATAACTTACAATCTAAGAGCTGTAATGTGTGTAGCTTGTCTACAAGATAGATACTAAGTATAAATCTAATCATGCTTATAGTCTATGGATCCGTATTACTTAGTCCGAGCTCATACAACTCAGGAGAAACCAGAATCTTTAGTGCTATTTCCCCTAAAAATATAAAAATATGAGAACTAAGCGCCTATTCTGAAACCTAAAGCAACTTTTACTATTTAATTCCTCCACTAAAGCTTTCGTTTCCTCTTGTAATTACCTGAAAAAGCTCAGTAATTATTTCAACACTGCTCCAAATGTAACAGCTAATGTTTTTAGGCAGCTCTTTGCGTTTGCGTTAATATAGGCGCTGGTTTAATAATATGAATAAAATAAATGTAAGCCGGCTGTTTTTAAATATTCATTATGTGCAAGCTTTTTTGCAACAGTGTTTCTTTATTTTCTTTTTCCTATCTACAGGGTGTTAGGTAAATGGGTATATGAGCCGACACTAGCCCATGTTAACATGGTCATATAAATAATATGGTGAAGTCAGAAAATTGATATCTTCATTTTAATTATTTTATTTTTGATACAAATCTGATTTTATAAAATTTATTTTGTATGAAAATTAAAATAATTAAAATGAATCAATTTTCTGACTTCACCATGCCATTTATATGCCCATGTTAACATGGGCTAGTGTCGGCTCATATACCCATTTACCTAACACCCTGTATACTAAATTAGGGAGTATTGTTTGTTTTCTTGATCACGCTAATCTCAGGAATTATTAATCCGATATTTTTGTGTTGGACAGCCTATTTATCCAGGAAATCTTTAAGCTATATCACATCACCTCTCAGCCAATACGGGCGGAGCAGTAAAGAAAAATGTTTTGTTTAATACCAATAGGCACTAAGGCTGGTGGTTCTTTGCAGATTATAATACCCTGAAACTGAAGGTATGTCAACTATTTCCCACATCAGTAAATGATGATTGAGGGCTGAACCAGATGTCAAAATACCCGCATTTGAGATGATAACCAATCGGAACTGTGTCGTTGTAGACAATACGCATTCTAGTCCACGATTCAGTCTTTAGTATTGTGGCCAGGGAAACAGCGGAAAATATTGCTACTTAAATCGAAGTTTTTTTAATAAGTAGTATGTGCCATAAATTGTCCCAAATGAGCTGTATTCTCAGCAGAGCCAAACACCACGTTGGGAACTTGGGACTCTAATTAGTTTTTTTCTATTGTATAATGTTATTAATTTGACATAACTCTCCCCTCAGGATAAATGTTAATTTATGAAATTTTAATTTGAACTAACAGTTTTTTTAAGTATACGTAATATTTTGTAAATAAAACATTTAATAAATAAACATTGGACTTAATCAAATTTGACAAAGTAAAACGATGCCACATGATAATTAATTTGACAAATTAATATTTTACAAAATATAAAGCTAAAGTTTAATTTGAGAAATGAAACAGTTTTTTTACCAATCGGCAGTAGGTACGAGACGAAAACGCCAAGGTCACGGTAATACTATCTATACAGTATTCCAACTCGGCCATATTTTTGAAATAAATGTCAACAGCCCCGCGGTACGTCACGGTATGACAACATGCGATAGGGCTGCTCACCTACAGTACCCATTCAAATTACATCTGTCTACTTAGAATTTCTATCTAGTTTTGTGATTGTAATTTTTTATTTATTTAGACAAACAAAATACTTTGTGAATGGAATAGGATAAAAATGCGTGTTGTTTTGTGATTAGTAGATTTAATTTTTAAAAATATACTAAAATAATTTTGAATCTACTAATCATCATGAGTACTTAATGACCTGTTACTTTAATTTCAGGCTGGCGAAGTCGTGGGCCAAAGCTGGTTTTATACAATGTAATTTTCATTTTAAATCAAACTGACTGAAAATGACCATTTCTGACAGTTAATGACTAGTTTTTGACAAATTTGATCGTTTAAGACGGTCAGTCCAATTCAATCACCTTAGTCATTTTCAACACTAGGCCATCGACGTCCGTTCGGCACATTCGCGACACCCCTAACTTTTGGATCTCAACCACGTCCCGTGATTTGAAATTCGAAGGAAAACTCGCGTTTCGTCAGTTTATATGAAGTTACAATACTGTATGATATTATTACCGTGCCAAGGTAGAAGACAAGAGGTCAAATTCTTTTCAAGTTGAGTGTAGTTTTAAAAACTTTCATTAATCAACTTCATAATTAGACCAATCAAAACCACCATTGCTTACTATTCGCTGGTTTCGTGGCCCCACTGCTATAGTTGTGCAACGAGTTTTCATTGATACCGGTATATGGGTATAACGGCACCTCTCGCACTGCATTGTGAGAAGGTCGCAGCTTCGAGTCCTGTGGCGACATTGTTCGGATGTCCCGTTGACGTGGTAGAAAGCGTTTACGTTTGTTTGAATGTTTAATTATTTTTTACACAGTGGTAGTGGTACTTGGTGTCTTTTTATTTTTGTAAGTCATACGTTTACGTTACGTTTTTATGACTAATAAAATACACACAAGTTTTAGTCAGGTTCAAAAACAAAACTGTGAAAAGCAAATGTGATAATAAGAATTATTTTGCCTATTTCTAGTTTAGACATTTTAATGTGATGGGCATGACAATTTGAGCAAAAAGTAAATTACGAGGATTAGTATACTTATGATCAACTATATTCAAAATAAAATCTTTAAATGTAGTTCTTTGAGTAAAATTTTCTATTTACAGTATTCGATACACCACCAGGTGGCATTACAAAATTCCACCCTGTATACAATGTATTATTAAAACAGCATTTGATGTAATGGACTATAAATAAATTGACATTTTTATTATATTAAATACCTTCCCGCCTATTTTATTCCTATTTTCCTTTAGTAATAAAATCTTATTTTAACCCGCGACAAAGGATTTTGGTTGGAAGAAGAACACGTTTATATTAAAGCTCATACCGCGGCGTAATCTGTCGTGACGAGTGACGTTGCCAACCGGAAGTACGAGGGGAATAGACAGGGGCGACGGGGTTTCGATTGAAGGGTTCCGTATAATATTTATTGCAATATGATAAATTTGTCGGCGCCGGACACAGATGCTGCAAATTATTATTGATGATTAATAGTACCAATCTTAATATTATGTTATCTGTATAAATCTGTAGAGCGGGAGGTTTGTGATTCCTAAACGTAACACCCTACTGATGCGCAGAAAAAGGTAACTGTCAATCAGTTGTGTCCTGTCAAGTGTGAGCAAGCGGCTACGAGGTTATCTTTGAAAGCGTATGGAGATTCCACCCCTAGTGTTCCTTCTGATAGAGACCCCGTGCCTTTAAATTAATAAAAGTAGGATTAGCAAGCTGAAGTGGCAATGGGCAGGGCACATAGTAAGAAGAACTGACGGCCGATGGAGCAGCAAGGTTTTGGAGTGGAGGCCACGTACCGGACAACGCAGCGTGAGACGTCCACCCACAAGGTGGACCGACGACCTGGTAAAGGTAGCAGGAAGGCGCTGGCCGCTACCAAACGGTCATTATGGAAATTATTGGAGGAGGCCTATGTTCAGCAGTGGACGTCCTGTGGCTGAAATTAATGATAATGATGACTAGTTTGTCTATAAGTCTAGCGAAAAAGTTGTGATTTAATAAATAAGTATAGACTATTCCCACCGCTGCAATTCCTGTGTAGCCAGGATCTACAGTTTGACGGCCAATAAAAACCCAACCAGTGAAGGTCAAGTTTGTCCCGGGGAAAAGCAGGCTGTCATTGGACGCGCAACAAAGTAAGTATATTTATTTATTTACTGATTTTAATTACACAGGTTTATTTATGTAAGTAAGTAGTTAAGCCTTGACTATTTAACTGGTTTTTGAATCTGATAGTTCCTGTTTTAGAAGAGGAAGGAAAAATACAGGTTTTCACAACCACCAATGGAACCCTTAGTATCATAGAGACATCTTCGCGGTTTATTAACTCCCCGTCAGGTTTTGGCGGGAAATAACAATTGTTATGCTCATCACGTGCAGAAAAGCGAGCATTAATTTGATATTTAAGTAGGTTACACGCAAATCCAAATTCTAGGATTTTAGCTTGAAATTCATATCTATGTAGATGGCATGGACTCGTACTAATACTCGTAAATGGCAAAGTAATTTTCTGGCTGTTACATTTTCTGATCTATACTTTTAATTAGAGATGAAACGGATATCCGGTAACTATCCGGTAGGCCGGTAGGCCGGATATCCGGCCTAAATTTACTATCCGGCCGGATACCGGATAGTAACTCACTATCCGGCCGGATACCGGATATTAAAAAACTACGACATTTTCCTATTAATAAAATGAAATACATTAATCTTTGAGGTAAATATCAATAAAATGTCTTATAATAATGACGGCTTTTATTTAAAGTCCAAAAAGTTGCAAAAAAGCCATAATAAGGCCTTTCAAAAAACTAATTTCTTTATCTGGGCTAATCACTAATGACGAGTACGTAACTATTAAACATCTGTTAATGTCGAAATATTGCCAAATAAAAAAGGCGATCTTTTTTTCACTGATCGTCTGGTGACATGATGCATGCAGTTCAGTCAGATTACGCAGCAAGTAAACTAATTTAATTTTCGCTATTCAATACTTACTAAGCAACCGAAATCACCCGAATTGATCTGCCCTCTAGACAAGTGGCAAAATCTGACATTCTATTCAGACGGATTCGATTTTCGAAAAGTGTGACTAGTCTAGTCTACTAATAGACCCATTGATCGCGTTCGAAGCACCTGTGCGACGCTAAACTAGTCACGACATGCAACGAAACAAGGGACCAACTATCCGGCCGCCGGATATCCGGCTATCCGGCCTAGCAGCTGGCCGGATATCCGGTATCCAGTATCCGGCCAAACAACTATCCGTTTCATCTCTACTTTTAATCTTATCTACTTACTAGCGGCCGCCCGCGACTTCGTACACATGGATCCCGTTTTACCCCCTTAGAGGTGGAGTTTCGTAAAATCCTTTCTTAGCGGATGCCTACGTCATAACATCTACTTACCTGCATGCCAAATTTCAGCCCGATCCGTCCAGTGGTTTGGGCTGTGCGTTGATAGATCACTATGTCAGTCAGTCAGTCACCTTTGAGTTATAATATTTAGTTAATGAATCTTGGCATAGAGATAGATTAGATAGGGTACTTCTTGTTGCAAAATAATACCTACTCGAAGGGGTGAAATATTTTTGTAATAAATGTAAAAACAAAATTAAATGTCAAAATTTATTTATAAAAAAGTTGAAATCTTATTACGTGTAATCTTCTACACGTGTCATATAAAAGTCATGTTTAAATTACTCTGAGACGACGCGGGTCGTTTGTGGGTCGTCCGCGGGTCTTTCGTGAACCTTGTTGTGTGATATTTGCAACTTATGTACCTTTCTGGTGCTTAAGTTACAAATATCCCCAACAAATATCGAACGCCCCACGAACACCCCGCGTACGCCCCGAAGCCAAAAAAATATTAAAAAATTAAGCTTTCTTAGGACATTTCTCCAGCTCCACGCATTTCCCGGACACGGTGTCCCGGACAGTCGGCGGGTCGCAGTAGCAGGCCGAGTAGTCGCAGAGAATGCCCTTCTCTTCCACCGGCTTTGGTTCTTCGCAGGTCGGCTCGGGGGTTTTGTGGCCGCAGCCGAGAGCGTACGCGTGGGTACCCTCCTCGCACTCACGGGAACCTGGAAGGTTAAATAAAAAAAACTATGTATAAAAATGTTTAAAAAAAATAGGATTACTAATGCCCGTTTTCACCATAAATCCCTAATTTTGAAGTGACCCCTATGAAAACAAAATTCCTGTTATGTGTTACATACTTAAAAATTGGGGATTGATGGTGAAAGCGGGCATAAATAAGAGCTCTTTCAAATTAGACGTTTTGAGACGGACTGTTTGCCGTTTGCAGGACTGCACACTGAAAGTTGTATTACAGTTGCATTGGAATAAAAATGACAATTATTTATCATTACTTTTACTATTACCAACAGAGTGTGCGGCCTCGCACACGCACAACTGACGTCTTGCTCAAAACGCCTAATTTGAAATAGTGTTGAAGAAGTGTATTGCATTAATCTATGCTAATATTATACGAGTAAGTATTTAAAATGCGAAAGTATCTCTGTCTGTCTCGCTTTCACGCCTAAACCACTGAACCGATTTTGATGAAATTTGGCATAGAGATAGTTTGAGTCCCGAGAAAGGACATAGGATAGTTTTTATCCCGGTTTTTGAAACAGGGACGCGCGCGATTAAGTTTTTTTGTGACAGGCAAAATTCCACGCGGGCGAAGGCGCGGGAGGAAAGCTTAAATAAATAAATAAATAAGGAAGAAACTGGGCCAATGAGTGTTGTTTCAGTGCAAAGGGCTATGTATCCTAGGATTTTTACTATTTGCGTATGTATTTTTTGGTTTTGAAATGTAGAAAATAAAGTTCAGGAAAGATTTTTTGAAGAGTGACATTGGGTTAATTGTCACCAATTTAGTTAATTCAAGATTACCTCCACTAAACACTAAGGTACTCTAGCTCTGAAAGCCCGGTTTCTGAATTGATATTTGAATTGAAGCTTGAGTCAGTTAAAATTTTGAAATACTTGAAGTCGTCGGTCCATCGAAAAGAGGAATGGCCTAGACTTTGTTTCCCAAAATATTTGATATTCGTGTCTAACTACCTAAATGACGGTACTTAATAATTAAAAACCATTTAAATTTAAAACCGCTAATTCTTAATAGGTAACTCAATGAAATAATCGAGTTTTTTAAAACTATAAAACTGGTTAGTGTTTAACTGTTTTTATTAAATTAACGACAGGTTTGTTTACTGGTCAGTTAATATTCCTGTGGTTAGCAATAATTAAGACAAACAATGATAATTTCAATGTTTTTGTTTATATTGGAGGTATATGACCGTTAAATTATCTTGGTTGGTTTCAATAGGTTATCGTTAGTTGTTTATGTTACCTATATTATTATACTTGGTAAATAAGACTAGGTAGGTATATGAACTAAATAAGTTCTTAATGACAAATAATAGATTTACTAGTCAAGCTAAGTACGTCTTAATATTTTACGAAAATATCTATTTTCATATAGAATTTTTATGTAGATCTACCCCCAATTTAATATGAGTCGTTCTCCAAATAATTTGAAGGTACTGGCCAAACTACCAAAGATTTCAGTCTAAAACCCATTTTAAGGTCTACGTACCTTTAAGTTCTTATTGGGGCCGTTATCGTCATTCAAGTTAGCACCTTGCTATTTTAAAACAACCTATGACTTCATAGATAATGGCTATAATCATGGCTTAGAGATATAAAGAAGACATAATAATTATGTCTTATGACTTGTTTGTTTTTTGTGTAGGTAATCTAAATTAAGCGTTGCTGAGCAAACCCAATGCGCGCTCAAATTAAAAGTTTTAATGTTTTTATGTATCTTTTGCCCGCCCGCGTGAAATTTAGTTTGTCACAGATCATCATAAATTATAGCCTATATGTTATTCTGGGTTATAAACAACAATACTGTAAAGTTTTATCAAAATCCGTTCAGTAGTTTTTGCGTGAAAGAGTAACAAACATCCAGACATCCAAACTTTCGCATTTATAACATTAGTAGTACTAGTAGGGTAGGATTAGAACACCAAATTTTAATTATAGGCCATTAAATAATAAATTTAAAATTTAAAAGCTTTAAAACAGATCGACCATACTTTCCGTTCAACTACCCTCCAGGGAATCCTACTGGACCTTAAATTAATCATTTAATAAACTTAAAAAACACTTACATCTCCCAAGAATGTAGATGCACCCTCTCGAATGGGGTTTCGTGTCGGCCATTGCAAGCCCGACCAGCGCCAAAACACACAGGATCACAAGCGACTTCATGTTGACAATAACGGTTTAAATTCGGCAGTATTATACTCGTACGAGTTGACCGGTTGAACTATTTTTCCGTACTGACCTATTGAAGTAAATAGGACGACTTATATTGCCCACGCGCAGGTTTTGTTCAGGGTTGCCAGTTTATGTCGTAAATTTTCTAACGAAAATTACAGATTTTTAAAATTGCTATGTTTTTATCGTATTTGAAGTTCGGATATCTTTTCTAAAAGGGTTGTTAATGTAATTTTAAAGTAATTGGTAAGCATTTGACGACAAATACATAATTCTATTCGGTGATCTATTAAATAATGGAACGATTAACCTTATGAAGATGTAAGAAGATATTTTTAGTCTGTTTTATATTTTTGAGATGAAAACTTGGGGTTTATACTAAGCAAATAATATTTAAACAATCACAAAAATCTTTAAAATTCATAATTATTGCGTGTCTTAGTATGTGGAAATTAGTCTTTTGTAGAAAACATACCTACTGTTAGCACCTGCTTACGTAGGACTTTACATCGATATAAAAAGTGTAGCCTTTTTACAGTTGCAATAGGTTCGATTTTGTATTTTTGTGTTGTTAACAGGTTTTTTATACATGGACACTGCCTACTAAGACAACTCTAGGCACAGTTGATACAACTATTAACAAAATGTTCGTAGACATAAAATTTATTAGCGCCGTTTTTTATAATGACACAAAAAATTGGAAAGATTGATTTCGTACACTTCATGAATAAAATAATGTAAGATTTATAAAACGTTTAAATTTTTTTGATATTATATTAAGCTTTTTTATCACAAATGCAAACAATCTTAAAATTAGAGTCTACCTCGTAAATGAAGATAATTAGTGATTTCTGTAAATACCCTCCTCAACATGAGAACTAATATAGGTACCTACCCGCCATCGCTGTCAATATAACTATTATTTAGTCAGTTTATGTAACTCTAATGATTAATTATATCCATTATGAACCCAATTAGGGCACAACAGCTTTAAAAGGAGGTAGAACGATCTTTCTGTTACCTGTTACTTACAACTTAAGTGGTACTTAAAGTACTCTTGTCAAAATATGTATTATTCATGTACAAAAGTAATAACTTCTAAAGTCACCTTAACCTCCATAACAAGCACGTAGGAATCCTAATATTTAAGATGTTAGTTTTCCTACACGTTAGTTGATTACAATATGAGCTTTATTGAATTGGATTATAATACATTATCACTTGTACGACGATTAACATGTTTGCGATCAAACAATTGAGTAAGACGTAGCTTAGCGAGAAACAACAAGACATAGTACAGTATGGCTGACTCTAGTAACATAAGTTGGTCATTTTAAATCAAGAAAATGAAAATCAATAATATTTTATTTCATTTAAACCAGCATTTTGGCACTTAAGAATGTCAAAAATAAAAAAGGTAGCCCTACCAGCGCTAATTAGACAGGTTGACATAACTAACTGATTTAAAACACTTGTGTTTGTACAGAAAACAGCTGTACAGCAATCAAAACATTTATGTCGCCATGATCAGTAGCTGCAATAGGCATTATGTTGTTACTTATAATAGTAGAAAAGGTAAATAAATAAATAATAAAATAAAAAAGCCTTTTATTTCTTACTATACACAAAATTAACAATAAAACTAATAAATCTAAATATATAAAAGGAGAAACTGACTGACTGACTGACAGATCAACGCACAGCCTAAACGGCTAAACGTAGGCACTTGAAATTTGGAAGGGACGTAGCTTAGGTACCGTAGAGGTGCACTAAGAAAGGAATTCCCGCAATTCCCACGGGAACGGGAATTAGCGGGAAAAACGGGATTCACGCGTACGAAGTCGCGGGCGGCCGCTAGTATGCTAATAAAACTAATAAACATGCTAATAATTAACATACTAATATTTAGAAGTTACTTTATTATTGAGCAAAAAAAGAAGTAAGAACCCCCCGTTAGTTGGAGGTGAAGGCCTCCTCTAGAGAATGCCCTAAAAAGTGTCCCTGTCGCCTGCCACGTTCATCCATTGCTCGCCAGCCACTTGCACTATGTCGTTAGCCCATCGCGTAGTTGGTCTTCCTCTCTTTCTTGTACCCGATGGACCCAGCCAAGAAGTTAATCGCTTAGTCCAACGATTATCTGTCAGACGAGCTATGTGGCCGGCCCAGCGCTTCAGTTTCTTGCTATAACATAGCGCATCTGTGACTTTTGTCTTTTTCCTAATATCTTGGTGTGGTATTTTCAACCGACTTCAAAAAAAAGGAGGAGGNAAGCCGATTCTACCCCAGTCCAGATTTCCGATGACCCATTGCAGCACTGCTATAAAAATTGTTGGTGATAGAGGGTCACCCTGTCTGACTCCTCTTTCAATAGCTATTGGAGGTCCTGTCGTCTCTAGTCTCACTCTGCTGTTACAATTCAGATAGATATTTTGTAGAACCTTCAGATATTCAGTTTCAATATTTTGCGATTGTAGAGCTTCCCATATTGAGTGGTGGTACACGGAATCGAAAGCTTTCTGGTAGTCAATAAACACGAGGTAGAGCGGCCTTTGGAACTCTTGATACTTTTCTATTAGCATTTCGATAGAGTGGATATGATCCACAGTAGAGAAACCTCTTCTGAACCCTGCCTGTTCTATGGGTTGGTGCTGTTCAATAGTGTTTCTAATTCTTTTTTCTAAAATTGATGCAAACAATTTATATATTGAAGGTAGCAGGCTTATGGGACGATAGTTTCCTATATTATTTGGATCGCCTTTCTTGTATAATAAAATTGTATATAGTAGAAAAGGTATTCAAAATCAAATAACGTAAAAATAGTTGGCGCATTCGACCGATTGAATTCCTTTTCTACCTCGCCTTATTGATGACTCTAGTCCATCATATTTTTTTCTTCAGTTCCGAGGTGTGAAAAACTTTAGGTATTAGACATAACATTACAATATTTTTTATAGAAGTCGAGCAAAGTTTCTTCATAATATTTCATTTCAGTCTTCAAACTGATGCGTATTGGCTGATTTCTAATTTATTTATTTTATATTTAGGTAGGTATACAAAGCAGGATAATATCGGAAAAAGCAGTACAGTAAATATAATTGACATAAAATAATTGATATGCTGCTAGTAACTTTTGAAAAAGTCTCATTTTCACAGCGGCAGACTTACTGTCATGTTTTTACTGTGTCATTTCAATACCGGTTCTGCAAGATTTGCCTCAATAATAAAACAGAACAATAATATTGTGCTCGGTTCCTAAGCAAGTGCTAATGCCGTGTTGATATTTATGAACAAAAAATGATCATAGAAGGCCTTGTAGACCTCAAGTAGGTACTTAAGTTGTACTACTTAAGATGAGATGAATACTTAACAGTTTCTTGGGAAAACAATTTTACACTAATTACAACATAAGTAACATTGGTTTTCTCTGTGTATGTTAAATTTTGTGTTTAAGAACACCATAATTAGATCGGATAGGTTAATTTTAATCATTTTCACCATTATTTTAGCTACTGGACGCCCACTAAAAACACAAGCCTTCAACTTCCAATAATTTCAGATTGACTGGTTGAAAGTAAGAAAATAGTTAATTCAGTGAAAAATAAAATTTAAGTATACATACATATACCTACGAGTATAATAAGGAAGCGGCTTGCTTGCATCCAGTGGATATCTGCAAATCTTTTCAAGTTTTTTAATTTCTGTGTATCGAAAAAATAATTAAGGCTCTTAATTGGTTAACACTAGTAAATAGCGAAAGTTTTTTTAAAAAACTGCATTTAATTAACTCAAAACCCTTTGCAAAGTGTCCAAATGCCAGTATTCTCGTAATACCCTAATTGCGATAAAGAAATTCCAATAGCAGTATATTGGGGGCAGGTGGGACTTGGAGCAAATCGTTTGTGCGATTAAACCGTCACCGGGAATGGAATGCGGGACCGAGCGGTGGGAGGGGTGATACATGTTACCCTTACTATCATACTTCTGGAGCGTGAATAGTGACAAGAAAAACTTTCAGGAAGGGTTGACAAGATTGTGAACACACAAATTTTAAGGCCAATGGTAACACCGAAAAAAAAAATCAGCTGTTCAATACATTTTGATTATTCGCCAGCAATTTTTCCTATAGACTTATCTTTAAAAAATAGTTTATTCAGTGCATATGCCTTTTCTGGGGCACTTATACACGTTCCAAATATAGCATGCCCTACCACCACTTCGGGACAACATTGGGCTGATGCTGAGAAGAAGTGGTGGAAGAAACTCAGTCACCTTTGTCACTTGCAACGAATGAACTTTCTATGTCCTTGATAGTTTGGTCTATTAAAGAGGACTTCTTATCCATAGGTGATCAAATCCAGGTGATGAAAGTGGAATAGATCGATAGTTTGAGTCTCAAACTAGGTAACAAATATAAATCAGTTTCAGTGGATTTTCATATCATAATCAAATCTGAAGTACAAAGTTGCTAAATTCTATTGGCGTATCTACATATTTAAACATATTTTTATTTTTCTATTTGAAGCGATGTTTCTAGCGTGACAACATCGAAAACTAATTATAGGTATTACCTACTGTTAGCACTTTACACTACCTAACTTATTACTTAGAAAAATGTATACCAATTTTTGAAACTATAGTAGTGGTAACATATCGTAGACTTGGCGGTGTGTACCCGAGCGACGGGAGGCCATTGTCTTGCGACCAAACTATCGACACGAGGTACACGCTCCTGAGACACTTAAAGTAAATTAAAACATAACGTAACGTAATTCATCAGTTAGGTTCTACGAGAGTGGAAGTCACCCGGGAAACGCAGCGTGGGACTTTGACTTTTGACCCACAAAGTGGACCCACGATCTCATGGAGTCATGGAGAGATTTTAGGAATTATACAAATCTATATCTATAAAAGCGAAAGGTCACTGATTGACTGACTCATCACGAAATTTCAGAAACTACAAGTTCTCCAATTTGCATGGGGGTCCTTTTAGAACGTAGGTGCTCACTAAGAACGGATTAAGACAGTAAAACGGGATCCACGCGTACGAAGTCGCGGGCGGCCGCTAGTAAGATAGGTATAAAAACAG